AAATTTTTGAAATATCAATACCTTAACGGTTCGTCACTACTATGTAAAAGCAATTAAAACTATGACATGTGTCCACGGCTGTGAGTGGGACTCGACTGGTAAGGATGTAGGATGGAAAGGAAAGAGGGGATAGGTAAACGAAAACTACAGGGTAGGGAATTTTTTGAGTATTGGAAGATATGTATCCGGTAATGATTCTGTGTCCTCCTGTTTGTTCAGTCCTGTATTCTGTCTTTTTATATGTAGCATTTCGGAAGTTAATCTTTTACTGTAACAAGGTTCTCTGTCTAATATATCAATTTCGTCCCATTTGAAGTCATGATTAAAATCCATTCTGTTAGATAAGAATAGAGAGAGAATTGAAACAAAATAATTTAGAATCTTAAACTATAAGCAATAGGCAGTTTATGAAGGACAGGAAACAGTTGAAAATTTCACTGTAAATATTTATTCAAATGGTTATATAAAATAGTGATAAATAAACTATAAATTGTGACGTGACGCTTTTCGAGCGCCGTCACAAGGGCGATAGCCCGGCCGAGGGAGCAAGGAGCCCTGGTGTTGCTCCTCGCGTGGAGAGAGCAACCCGCGAGACTCCACCATTTTTGCGCGTCGTTTGTATTGTAATTCCTGTTTTTGTACCGTAATACCGTTTTTGAGTTGTAAGGCGAGACCCCGTGCGGGCGGCGTTGCGTGTTTTGTGCCTCAGGGCGAAGACAGCATCGCCAGGGAAGCCGGACACCGGGGGATCATCCGCAGGGGCCACGCGTTAGTGACCCCACGAAAAAGGTCAGGTACCGCGATTCCGTCGCCTCCGCCATCCAAGCCCTATCTAACTCCGCTTTGGTTTCAGCCACAAAGTCAAAAGCAACACAAAGACACGCAGCAGCGGACCTCGCCCGGCTGCAGACGGCTTCGAGGACCCCGAAGATGCTGCACCCGGAAGGACCGGAGTATGGCCCGGCCAACCTAACCAGTCTCTTCCGGGAACATCGACTTACCGACACACTATCAGCCGAAAGACTTGAGGAAACCACAGTGAGCGGAAGGGGGCGCCCTGGATGAACTGTGGGCGGTTCTCAGGGGCCCCCCTTTTCGGAAAATCGGCAGGATGCGCAGGAAGGCGACGCGAATCTGGAAGGACCTAGAGGCAGAGCCAAGAAGAGTCACTGTTCGGTGTGCCGCGAGTGCGTGAGGACGAACACAAGGACTCAACCCCACGACGCCGAAGACGCCGAAGACGTCAACTCGATGTAAGCCGCCTCTCGGGTAGCCGTAGAGTTCCGTCCGGTTATGGCTGGTAGCGTGAGTCTGTTTTGTATTTAGTGTCTCTCACAAAACTAACCGAGAATTTTGATACCGTGAGCGCGTATTGACGCTCAATTACCGCGTGTCCAGCCGGCTCCGGATATCGCGTAAAAGTCTCTCCGTCTTGCGTGAGTTAAGCGCCGACAGTCTCTTTCTCGTTGCCGTTTCGTTTGCCGTTCGTTTCGTTACCGTACCGTCTTCCCGTTACCGTTTCTTTTTGTAGAATACTGACTAATTGCTACCGTTTTTCCGTTACCGTTTCTTTTTGTAGGATACTGATTAATTGCTACAGTCTTCCTTACGATATCGTTTTGTTACCGTTTTTGTCGCGTTATCACCGTACCGAAAGTCCCGTGGGCGGATGTCCGCGGACGGATTTTGCTCGGGAGCGTTCTCCGCGAGACCGCTGTTACCGCCTCGTTAGCGTCTCGGCGAGAAACGTGAAAGCCCGCGAAAATAGCCGCTCCGCGACATCTCATTTCTGGCCGTTAGGCTACCGTCGTTCAAAGTATATTTATTTGGCCTTCACCGGCCGTATCGGATGGTCGTAATACAAGTCATTTGTTTTGTCGAATATCGTCGGATCAGCTGCGAATTATCGTGATCGCGTTTCCGAGATTTCATATGGTTACCGAAATTTGTTCTCGTTATCGATTGATTGAGCGAATTACCTTACTACCGTATTAGACTATTTCCGCCGTATCGGCTCAGGCCGAACGATCTACGCATCTTTACCCTTGTAACCGAATCATGGAAATACATTATTGTTAAATATTAATGATTGAGTTGTCCTTATGTTCACCTCTCACTCCAGATATCTACGTTAAGTAAAAGAACTGCGCCCCTCTGCCATACTGAGCGGGGAGCGGCCGAGCAAATTTTGAGAACTATTAAAGTTACCGATACCGCGGTGCGATTATTCGCACCTGGCGCCCATTTCCGGTTACCGTTATCGCGTGAGTTACCTTGCTCCCGAATTGTGTGGAGTACCGCGAGTTACCGAATCGTGCAGTCATTGCCGATTTCGCGAGTTACCTTGCTCCCGACGAGCGTGGAGTACCGCGAGTTACCGAATTAAGCATCTGTTTCTGATACCGTAAGTTACCGAGTCGAGCAGTTATTGCCGATGCCTCGAGTACCGATTTCCATTGGGCGTGCTCCCTCGGATCTGGCGTGATTCCGAGGCTAGTTCACGTCGCACGCTTCACCTGATAATGAGCTACGTAAATATTGAAACTTTTGAATTCTTGTTAATCTCGCATTAGAATCTATGACTGATACAAAGGTATCCTTATACATCAACCATTGTTCGTAGCTACCATTAAATGTAGGGAGTTGTAGCGTGGGTAACTTTACAAAAATATTATTATTTACCTGTTCTTGCGGATACATTACGTGTTCTACATGATTTACCGGCTCGGGTTCTAACAGTTTTCTGGCTATCGCTATGTATTTTAAGTAGGTTTCTTCTACTGACTGCTGCTCGCGTACTATTTCTGCTTCTAATGCTTGTTTTTCTTCCGATGTAGCTGGTGGATCCTTTGTTAACATGGCTTCTATTTTTGTCTCTGCGATCTGTGATTGAACCTCGTTGTATGTGTTATACAAATCTTCTGCTCTTTTTATCCTGTCTGGTAACTGTTCTTTACGTTCTTCTGCGTGATCTCTGACAAAATTTACAAATTGCGTGATCTGTCCTTTTATGTTCGTCCTTTTTGCTCTGAGCTTTTGTAAATTTGCCATTTTCATAGTATATAATATGCGTGACTTACGTTAGTTAACCTAACCTCTTTGTGCGTGTCTGTTATTTGACTGTATGTTTTTTCCACTAATCCGGCTCGAAGGACCAAATGTTGACTGTATGGTTGCTTATGGTAACAAAAATAACTGATTAAATGCTGGATTTTGCTATAATGCTTTTTAATGCAAAACGTGTACAAAAGGTGCGACATAGCGTCAATGCTCGCTTCCACGCAATCTCTACCTGCCTGACTCCCTCTGCTGTCCTATCTCGCTAGTTGACTACGTGAGTCTAGCGGGCTATTCAAACGTAAACAATAAATATTGCACGATTTTGCTTGATTACTTAACAAACAGACAAGAACGAAAAGAAGACTATAAACAAAGTAACAATAAAAAAGAAGAAATTTTTTGTGAAGGAAAAAAAGGAATTGCCGTCAGAAACAATCGTTAAAGGAAAATATAGAAACACAAGTGGTGGAACAGGAAGAAGGAATGATAGGAGGTGAAAAAAAAAGAAATATACTAGAACGAAGAGAACTATTAATAAAAACTCTGATCAAAACTTTGCGAACGGACAAAGAACTAAGAAGAGAAGTGATAAGAATACTAGAGGAGGAACAGGGAGGTTCGGAAGACGAGGAGGAGGAGGAGATAGGCGAGCAGGCGAGAGGGATGAAGGAGACCAAAGAGAGGAAGGCGAGAAAGGAGGAACAGATAAAGAGATATCGTAGAATGGCAAGAGAAGTAAAAGAAGAATGGAGAAGAAATGTACGGGGAGGGGACTCAGGTTAGGTCTTTCTTTAGGGGGAGATCGTTTGTTGTTCCAACTATAGATATATATATTTGATAAGATAAAAAGATAATTTAATTTTAACTTTATTTATTATTATTTTTCTTTATTTTTGACATTCAATATTAAATTATTGTTGTGGAACTGTAGAGGTCTTAACAACAAAATTAATGAAGTCAAAAAGAGAATAAATGATTATGATATTAGCACTTGTAGAAACAAAGTGTAGTAAGGCTAATCGAATTTATTTTTTAGGATACAAAACACTAATTAAAGAAAGTAATGGGAAAAGTGGTGGTATTGCGCTCATAATAAAAAATGATTTCGAGTTCCAGATAATTAATGAATGGAAGGATATCCCGAAGGCCTTTAATATCTTAGGTATTAGGATAACAAATGTTCAGGAGAGAATAAATTTAGTAGTGATATATAGGAGACCTACAATAAGGATAAGAAAAGACCAATAAAATCGTATTATGGACTTTGATACAGGGGAGGAAGAAACTATAATTATAAGCGATTTTAATGCGCATAGTAATTCATGGAACTGTCAAGATACGGACAGAAATGGAGAAATCTTAGAGGAAACAATGTCCAATCAAGATTTATACTTGCGTAAATTACAATACTCTGTCCAGGATAGGAAACGTAGGCCAAGTATCATCTAATATAGATTTGGCTTTCTGCTCACTTAGTCTAATAGACAAAATAGATTATTTTCAGGAAAGGGACTCCTGGGGATCGGATCATTACCCGATAAGATTTCAAATGGAAACATATATGGAAGTATACAGAAAGAGAACTAACAAAATATCAACAAAAAGAACGAAATGGAAGGAATATACACCAACGATATCCAAGGAATTTGATAAATTGGTGAAAGATCAAAACTATGCTGATGAAAAGAACAAAGAAGTAAAATACAATAAACTTATAGGTGTAATTAAAAAAATAATGAGTAAAATATCGGGAAGATCATATGAAGAGGAGAAGAAAGAAAAGACTCAGAAAACAAACATCAAGGAAAGGAACAAAGCACAGTCAGTTAGATGGTGGGATGAAGAATGTGAAAGAGCAGTTGAGGATAGGAAAAAGATTTAATAAGGACCCCACAATACATAACTATATTGATTTAAAAAAAAAAGAGCCATAGCAATTAGGATAATTAACGGAAAGAAGAGGGCGAGCTTCAATGATTTTTGCTCAACGATTAATAGATTCACAGGATTATTATACGTGTGGAAGGTCATGAGGTCTTTCAAGAACGCTAAAAAGAATATAGAATGGAATAAATGGATAGATAGAAATAGAGAAGAAAAAATAAAGAAGGAAATAGATAAACTAGCACCTCCCAGTGTTGAATTAAGACAAGATAGAATAGAGGAAAATATGACTGGTGGAAATAGATACATGGAAGAGAATTTTAGTATAGAAGAATTATGGAGAGCCAAAAAAATGATTAGAAAAAACTCGGCACCGGGCCTTGATGGAATTGAATACAGAATGTTAAAAGAAATCCCAAAACCTATGGAAAAAGAATTATTGGATTTATTTAACAACATATGGAATTCTGATTTTTTCCTTTCAGAATGAAGAAAATATCAGGTATTATTCATCGATAAACCAGGGAAGGAAAGAATTAGGCCAATTGCTTTATCATCATGTGTGGGGAAACTTATGGAAAGAATGGTCAATGAAAGGCTAGTATGGTGGGCAGAGAGGGAGGATAAATTAGCTAGCAATCAAAACGGATTTAGAAGAGGTAAATCGTGTGTAGACAATTTAACTAAGATAGTAGGAGACATTAGAATAGGTATGTACAAAGATCAGTACACTTTAGCAGCCTTTTTAGATGTTACTTCAGTCTATGACAATGTAAGTTACCAGGTACTTATGCTAAGACTAAAAGAACTAGATTGCCCCATTAAGATAAGAAAATTTATTGGTAAATGGCTCAGATATAGAGAAACACAATTTGTAATCAATAATAGAACTACTAGGGACAGGATAGTTAGAAAAGGCTTACCGCAAGGAGCGGTTTTAAGTCCTATATTATACGCCTTATATACTAGTCAAATAACCAAAGAACTTGGGGATGAGATCAGGACAGTTCAATTTGCAGATGATATAGCAATATATACAGGGTGATTAAATAACCGTATGTCCTTAAAGGGACATATTCCTGAGTATATTCTGAGACAACTTTTCCTTTTGCAAAAGTTTGTGCGTAGCTTAATTTTTAAATTATAAAAGAAAATAGTTAGCGTATCGTGAGTCGAGTACAAGAAACAAGCAGGGGCGGCGCAACTCATCGTTACACGCGGGTGTTTACGTGAAGCGCCCGCTACGATCAGCTGACACTCACGATACACAAATACGTATACGCACCTCTCTCTCTTTCTCTCTCTCTCTCCCGCGCGATGAGTCAGATCCATATCGAGAAAAAATTTTTCCTCTCGTTCACGTTTCACGTTTCAAAACACAACACATTTACACACTCTGTTCACTCACTTCATCGATAAAACGAGGAATTTATTTAATGATCACTCGGCGCGTGAGAATTACTCGAAGAAAGAAACACGTGTTTTCGGCGGACACACAATACGTGTTTACTCGACGGTAGCAAGCAGTCGACTGATTTCATTGGTTATGTGTTGTAACATAACATGGTGTGTCGAATGTGAACGTACGATGGCTTGAAGTCTCAGAACGCGCACAATTAAAAATTAAAATATTAATTAATGTAATTTATATTAACATAATTGATTGAAAAATATTGCAAAAACGCAAGTTATTCATTACTTATTAAAAATCGAAACAAATCAATTTTCTTAAGTATTTTATTTAATTTTGGTTTTTAATCATTTGCGAACTTTGAAAGAATATTCCTTGAAATGAAATATTTGGTTGCCCTGAAAAGGGTAGATTATTTTTTTCTCTTGGAAGAGCTTTCTTTATAAAAGGTGTTCAAAGTGACCACCGTCCATTGTGACACAAGCTCTCATGCGTCTCAATAAATTTGTTTGAGTCTTTTCCAGAATATCACTATCGATGGACCAAATGGCATAATGGAGTTTGTTATTTAAATCTTCGACATCTTCGGGAAGCTTTCTGTAAATTATTTCTTTACAATGTCCCCACAAGAAAAAATTCTTCGATTACTAGAAGCATTATTAGAACAATATGGCATACACAAACGAAGAATATTATGACATGCTGATGGCACTTGGTGAGTGCCAGGGACAGCATTACGTTGCTGCAAGACAATATGAAGAATTATACCCAAATCGAGCAAAACATCCGTCGGCCAACGTCATACTTAGGGCAGCTCAACGATTGTACGAGAGTGGAAGCGTCTCATTGAATAAAAAAGATTGCGGTAGAGAACGCAACGCAAGAAACGTGCGAAATGTGGAGACAATTCTTCGTGCTGTCGAACAAGAGCCTGAAACTAGTATTCGGGTCATTGCTCGAGAGCACGATCTGTCTTACTCCACAGTACAGAGGATTATGAAAGAAGAAAAATTGCACGCTTATCATTATTGCCGCGTGCAAAATTTACGAGAAGAAGACTATCCTCGAAGGAAGACGTTTTGTGAGAATTTTTTGAGAAGAGTAGACGAAGATCCAGAATTTCCTTCTCGTGTGATATTCAGCGATGAATCGCTATTCACACGAGAAGGAATTTTTAATTCTCACAACATGCATGTATGGAGCGATGAGAATCCTCGAGTCACTCGACTCCGAAAATTTCAAGTCCGATGGAAAATCAACGTCTGGGCAGGGATAATGGGCACAAACATACTTGGTCCAATTATTCTGCCAGATATCTTAAATGGCGCATTGTATGAAGAATTTTTGGCAGAAAATATCCCAGATTTTTTGGAAGAAGTTCCATTAGCAGATAGGAATAAAATCATATTCCAACAAGACGGTGCTGGACCACACAATGCCAGAGTCGTTACGAATTACTTGAACGAGCAATTTCCTGGACGTTGGATGGGCCGGTATGGCCCAATATCTTGGCCCGCAAGATCCCCGGACCTTAATCCATTGGTTTTTTCTTGTGGGGACATTGTAAAGAAATAATTTACAGAAAGCTTCCCGAAGATGTCGAAGATTTAAATAACAAACTCCATTATGCCATTTGGTCCATCGATAGTGATATTCTGGAAAAGACTCAAACAAATTTATTGAGACGCATGAGAGC